TTGGGATGTCACACATTTCCCTTTAATTTTATTTCACATGATGGTTGTAAAGACAGTAAATGTTAAAAAGCATTTTGCACTTGAGAAATATGATATACATGATATTGGGTTTGTTTGTTTGTTTTTTTAAAAAGGATGCCTGTTAAGCCTTCTAGCTTGGAAAGAGATGAACATGCAGTTATATGTTGCGTCACTGCTTATTGAATCCAATCTGACAAGAATGTGCTTTGGTGGCGGACGGCGGGGACAGTGAATCAGAGCTATTGCTCGTAATGGCTTGTTACTGTACATTTGGTTGTTTTGGGGTGCAGTAGAGAACAATCAGTTGCTCTCCTGTCACCGCCCAAGTTGGGAGAGACCAGTGAAGGGTCACTTTCAAGTAAACAGTCCTGAGTCTTGAGAAGATTCAGGTCTGAGAGAGGTTGAATAGTCGTCTCTTTATGACAGCAGTGCAGGTATGAAACCTTGATTCCAGAAGCCTGATCTCGGTAAGAAATTATTCCCTTGGCACTCATTCCTCTTTTTTGTTTGTTTCCCCCTAGACTCTTGGTTTATTTTGCCTGATGTTTCTTTCCACCAGATTATGTACCAGGCCCAGTCAGCATGGACTCTATTCTGTAAAGTGCATGCAAAGTCTCCTTCTAAGAACTCTTGCAAAAGCAATGTTAGGACCTCTGATTTAAGTGAAAGTGTTTCTGTGGGACATGTTTTTTGATGATGATGACATTGAGTTCACTGTAAATTAGCTCAAAAATTTAACTCTGGCTTTCCTTTTTTTCACCTGGAGTTGATAACCTGAGCATATTGCCATGGTATAAGCAATGGTCTTTCAGCCTCTGCCCCCATCTATACTCTGATATTTACCTTCCATGTTGTTGTTACAGCAACTGAGCATTATTGAGATCATATCCGTGAAACATTTCAGATCGTCCAGTATTTTTACTGTGTCCGTGGTTTTTCTCCCTTTTGTTTCTAGTGTCTTTAACTTGGTTACAGGGTTTTTCTTATAGGTACAGATCGTAAAAGTTGTGGAAAATAAAGCATGTAGCATTTTTATGTTCAGTTAATGGTGTATGTAATTATGAGGAACCTGAATGTGTCTGTCTCCTCTATCTCCCCCTCCTCCCCTTCCTTCTAGGCAAGCCAATGAAGAATACCAAGTCCTGGCTAACTCATGGCGATACTCTTCAGCATTTTCAAACAAGCTTTTCTTTACTATAGTTGATTATGATGAGGGAGCAGATGTTTTTCAGCAGGTAAGAATAAGTGATAAAACGTGTGTTACTCTTTTTAAAGGAGTACATTAATTTGCTTTATTGTGTACTCCATTTCAGATTTTTTAAAAAAGCGTAGGTAAGCATAGATATTTGCTGAGGTCACTAATGTGAACGTAACCATTGTTAGAATCATAGAAACATAGCATCATTGAGTTGGAAGGGACCTCCAGGGTCTTCTAGTCCAACCGCCTGCACAATGCAGGAAATTCAATAATACCTTCCTCTCCACACCCACAGTGACTGCTATTCCTCACCCAGAAGATGACAAAAAAACCTCCAGAATCTCCAGCCAAACTGGCCTGGAGAAAAATTACTTCCTGACCGTAAAGTGACAATCAGCATTTCCCTGGGCATGTTTTGAAAACTTCCAAAGAAGGAGAGCCCACCACCTCCCGAGGAAGCTTGTTCCACTGAGGAACCACTCTGTCAGGAAGTTCTTCGTAATGTTTATCCGAAAACTCTTCTGATTTAATTTCAACCCATTGGATCTGGTCTGACCAGCTGGGGCAACAGAAAACAACTTGACACCATCCTTTAGATGACAGCCCTTCAAGTACTTGAAGATGGTGATCATATCACCTCTCAGTCATCTCCTCTCCAGGCTAAACATACACAGCTTCTTCAGCCTTTCCTCATAAGACTTGGTCTCCAGACCCCTCACCATCTTTGTTGCCCTCCTCTGGACACGTTCCAGCCTGTCTATATCCTTCTTAAATTGTGGTGCCCAAAACTGAACACAATACTCTAGGTGAGGTCTAACCAGAGCAGAGTAAAGGAATACCATCACTTTGCATGATATGGACACTATACTTCTGTTGATACAGCCCCAAATCACATTTGCCTTTTTAGCAACCACATCTCACTGCGGACTCATGTTCAGTGTATGGTCTACTAAGACCCCTAGATCCTTTTTGCACATACGACTGCCAAGACAAGTCTCCCCTATTCTATAATTATGCATTTGATTTTTCCTACCTAAATGCAGAAGTTTACATTTATCCCCATTGAAATTCATTTTATTTGTTTTAGTCCAGTTTTCCAGTTTGTCAAGATCATCCTGTATCCTGACTCTGTCTTCTACTGTATTTGCTACCCCTCCCAATTTAGTATCGGCTTCAAATTTAATAAGCATTCCCTCTATCCCTTCATCCAAATCATTGATAAAGATATTGAACAAAACAAGACCCAGGATAGATCCTTGAGGTACTCCACTTGTAACTCCTCTCCAAGAAGATGAGGAACCATCCACAAGCAATTTTATGGTGCAATCTGTCAACCAGTTACAGATCCACCTAACAGTAATAGGATCCAAACCACATTTTTCCAATTTGTCAACAAGAATATTATGTGGAACCTTATCAGAAGCCTGACTGAAATCAAGCTGCACTATGTCTACAGCATTTCCCTGATCTAGCAAGGTAGTAATTTTCTCAAAAAGAGAGAGAGAGAGATAAGGTTAATCTGACATGACTTGTTCTTGAGAAACCCATGCTGGCTCTTAGTAATCACAGCCGTCCTTTCTAAATGCTCAAGGACTGTCTGTTTGATGATTTATCCTAAAACTTTTCCAGGTGTAAACGTCATGCTTATGGGTTGGTAGTTACCCGGATCCTCCTTTTTCCCCTTCTTGAAGCTGGGGACAACATTTGCCCACCTCCAATCTTCTGGCACCTCACCTGTTCTCCAAGAATTCTCAAAAATAGTGGATAGAGGCTCAGAAATCACATCTGTGAGTTATTTTAATACCCTTGGATACAGTTCATCTGGCCCAGAGGTCTTAGTTTCATTTAAAGAAACTAAGTGTATATGTACTACCCCTATGCCAGTCCTAGGCTGCAACTCCCTTCCCTCATCATGTGTTCTGTTTTTGCCATGTTGAGCACCATTTCCCTCACAAGAGAAGACTGAGGAAAAGTAGGAATTGAGCAGTTCTGCCCTCTCTTCATCACCTGTTACAATGTCACTTTCCTGTCCCTGCAATGGGCTTACCATGTCCTTGCTCTTTTTATTACTCTGAGCATAAGAAAATAACCCTTTTTTTGGTTTCTTTTTAGCATCTCTTGCTAGCCTAAGCCTATACTGAAGTTTAGCTTTCCTAACTCTCTCTCTACGAGCACTGTTCTAGTACATAAGCTGGCCATTTTTGCCATTCTAAGATATATAAAATGAGTTGGATCCATTGGTAGGTCTGCAACATAAGAGAAGAGGCAAAAACCCAACCCAAAACTGGAATTGGATACTTAAAAGATTAAGGGTATAAGTATATATAAACGTATGCCAATAAAGCCTCGTATGCCAATAAAGGCTTGTCAAATGTAAATGTATGTATAAAAAGGATTAAACAAAGTATATTTTAATGATAAAGTGCAGTTAAATAGTTCATTAAAAACTAAATAGGCCTTTAGGCCATAGAGGTCACACACTGTACAGTTCACATTACAAACTATGCAATATACACATGAACACATGGAACTGTCTTATACTGAATCACACGCTTGGTCTATCAAGGTCAGTACTATCTACTCAGACTGGCAGCAGCTCTCCAAGGTCTCAGGCAGAGGTCTTTCACATCACCTACTGCCAGATCTTTGAACTGAAGCTACTGGGGATTGAACCTGGGACCTTTTGCATGCTAAGCAGATGTTTTATCACTGAGCCACAGCCCCTGTTGGTGGCACTGATTGGGAACAATAAACAAATGAAATCAGACCAGTCATGTTTCGGCCACAGAGGCCTTCTTCAATGGTCCCAGTTTAGTACCGCATACACACTATATGAAGTAATCTCTATCTCAGTTAACCTTTTAAGGTGCCTAACCAGTTTAGTAATCTGTATCTCAGTTAACCTTTTAAGGTGCCTAAAAATGATGAATCAAAATGATATTGTTGATAATTTACAAAATCAGATTGAATCACTAATAAAATAAAATTAATGATCAACAATAGTTAACTTTTGTGGCTGAGACTTGCCCAGTCCAATTTCATTAGTTTACAATTATAAAAGCGCCATGACCTGGATAGCCCAGGCTAGCCCGATCTCGTCTGATCTTGGAAGCTAAGTTGGGGCGGCCCTGGCTAGTATTTGGATAGGAGACCTCCAAGGAATACCAGAGGCATGACACAGAGGCGGGCAATGGCAAACCGCCTCTAAGTGTCTCTTGCCTTGACAACTGTATGGGGTCTCCTGAAATCAGCTGTGATTTGACAGCACTCTCCACCACCGTTATAAAAGCATTCTGGTTCCATCCTTGTTATTAATCCCCCACCTCACCTCAGTCTCAATATAACATTATTTGTATGTATGCACACCTGTATGGAAATTCTGCTTCAGAATTTGAAATTGTAACCACTCACACTTAGATAATTTGAATTTCCTAATATTTGGAATTCCATTAAGGTTAGTAGGAAACAGCAATTCCCTACCCAAAACAGGGTGAACAGCTTTTTAAAAAATATTTTTGTTCAGCTCTCTGACCCTTTTCTGGGGCCGGTGTCATTGCCAAATGATTGATGAGCAAATGAGATAAATGCACAGCATCAGCTGCAGTTTCTAGGCAGTAGTGCCTGGGCATTGAGCAATGACGATTATCTGGCCATCAGAGTGTCAATAGGACAATTTTGGTCATGACAGAGCGAAGCAGAGAAAAGTGTGGCATTGCCCTTGTCTAGATGCTGCTTGCTCCTACTGGAACAACACATCTGGGAAGCTCAGCATTAGTAGAGTCATGCTAAGTAAAAACCAGTTCCAGGTGTGAATAGTATGGCCTGACAGTGGCCCTTTCCACACTTGGATCTCATCCCTGGTTTTATCAGAGTTCAACTCAGGACACAATACCTTGCATTTATCCCTGGTTATAACAGCATCCGTTTATCCTGGGACAAGTGTGGGGGAAAACCAGGGTGACCTCAGTGTAATGTGGAAACAAAAAATACCCCGATATAATTACAGGGGTGAACTCGTTTGTAGTGTAGAATGTAAAAATACCCCAAGATAATTACAGGGGTGAACTCACGTGTAGTGTAGAATGTAAATTCGAGGATAGGATTGAACCAGGATTTAAGGTCTAGTGCAGAAAGGACCAGTGGCTCCTACCTAGTAGAATACCTGCTCACAGGCACACTTGGAAGGCAGCACATCAGTCCCACCACCAGCTTATCCAGCCAATATGCCTTTGGTTTTCAAAAGGTACAGTTTATGTTCCTGTGGTCTTCTCCATGTACCAATCTCCTTTCCCACGCTTATATTTTATGTTACTGCCATAAAAAGCATGTTCTTCTCTAAAATCGATATCTGAGGCCACAGATCACAGACATGAAAAACACGTAAATTTCTTTCTCTCACTCTGTATAAAGTCTACAACTCTACTATCTTAATCCAGCTAATGAACCTTATTTTTTATAGATCTAAACATTTCCCTATTGAGCTACCATGTATCTATGAATCTACTAATCCTTACGCATCAACTTTAAGTTAATACATACACTAAAGGGTGTAAACTGGGAATCAAATGTAGGATGAGGTGCTTCGAAAAGAACAGAGGGCTCTTTGAGCATGCATAGCGTTAATCAAGAATAAATGGTCAGGGAGGAGCAAGGGGATAATAAAGCAGCTGTGCCTGGCTTTCACTTGTGAAGGACCAAGATGAAAGTGTTTTCTAGTGTCTGTGCCTGCTTGAGAGCTCCAGAAGTACTGACAGGTATCAGCCACATGTATAGACTGCACTATTTTGTCCTTCCAAAATGATACACAGACGTTGTTTGCAAATGCAGATATGCGGACCCTTGAGCAGATGAGATTTATTCTAGAATGTACTTGCAAGGCAGTGTGTTATTAAAATAGAGAGTGATGAATGGTTTTAGGAATGGGGCCCTAACACTACCTGGGCTTGTTCCCATTTGGCAGCATAAAAAACCCAAGCATCTGCCCTCCCCCACCCCTAAAAAGCAACCCAGTAAGATGGCCAATGAAAACATCTGTCGAAGTTATGCTTTCTTATAAAAATATATGAAAAGGTTAATGTGATCTAAGTAAACACATCAACTATCTAATTCCAAACCATCTACTTTAAGTTAATACATACACTAAAGGGTGTAAACTGGGCATCAAATGGGAATCATAGGATTCATGGATATGCAAATGGAGCTAGGGACAGATAAGGGGCGAGGGTTCTCTACAAACCTGAAGGAAGCCCAAAGTTTGCAGGAAAACCATGAAATCTTTGTTAAAAATTGGAGGATTAAAACACACCAAAATAATAGGAACAACACCTGTAGCTTTAAGAAAAGAATGCCCACTGAACTCTCTGTTTGGGAGCTGCTAGAGAAGTGCAACAATATTGCTGAGACTTCCAAGCCTTGAGGTCTTTAAAGCAAATCCATGGGGGAGGGCAGCAGGGGTGGAACAGCCTTGGAAAGAGTCCCATCCCCCTTCCGTTTTATGTCCACTAGTGGAGGAGGACATGCTAGAGACAGGCCCAGGAGTGGCCACTGGCACCTAGTTACCTACACCACTCAGCCTGGCCCAGCAGCCACTGTGCAACTGGGCCTGGCATGGCAGCCACTGCACCAAGTAGCTTTGTTAATGTCCACACATCTGGTATGAGATGAATGATCATTGCACATGTCACAAAGAAACTGGAGTTTATTCATAATATCCATTGACTTGGTTAAATTGTCAGATTTGCATGCTGTCTCTCTAGTCTCAGTACATCAAGATTATGAAAGTCTTCAACTAACCCGTTTTGTTGTGACATCTGAATGTGGGTGACTGTGATTCTTAGCCAGGATTAAACTGTGGTTTAGAACTCCAGTTATTGGGAAAGCCACCACAGTTTGTTATGGCAGGATAATTTGTTGAAGCCTTCTGTCCCTGATCTCAATGCACTTGGAGGAGAAAGCAAATATTTGAGTCTCATAATTACCAGGGTCTATTTCATGTCCATCATTAACAAACACTGTTTTATTTGTGATCTTTGAAATGAGCCATTGATGAATTTATTGGCTAGCAAAGGTATTTTGCCTTTACATATTCAAACTGGAAGCTAGTTATAATGCGTGCATGTATCTGATATGTTGTCCACAGCTTCCTGAATTCCAAATTATGATAAGGGGCTGCCTCCCAACTGATGGAATCATTTCTTATGATTATTAGAAGGTAGAAAGAGAGGAGGAAAAACCCAGGAGTTCTTATTTGATATTTGATGGCATCTTTGTTGTCTGTTGTAGCTCAATATGAACTCTGCCCCAACGTTCATGCATTTCCCTCCAAAAGGTAAGCCCAAGAGAGCTGACACGTTTGACCTGCAGAGAATTGGATTCGCAGCAGAACAGTTAGCTAAGTGGATAGCTGACAGAACTGATGTTCATGTAAGTCACTTGACAAAGTTAAAAGACTGATCCACACTTATCTTCATGTTCTGTGATAATTGACGCCAGGAACCGAGGCTCTCCCTCCCCCTTCTTCAAATGCCCTTTCCCCCCCCAGAAGAGTCCTCCAAAAATGTATTAAAACAATAAAAGTACCAGCTGTGCTAGTCCATCACTCTGTAGTAACTCAAACAATTTTAATGATGTATTTCAATCTTGCTTTGGTAGCTAAAATATTAATCTGGCTGTCTCTTAGCAGAACATGAGGAATGATAGTGTACCAATTAGTTGATTAATGTGAGCACGTACTTGAAATATTACTTATTGCAAGTAATAACTCCGTAAATCTGAAGATTTTTTCTTTTAGCTCTATAGATGAGCCATCGGTAAATATGCCGAAGAACTTTGTTTAACGGTTTACAGATGTATGTACGGACGTTGTATGAAAACTATTTCTTAAAGGAAAATCTGAAGTGTCTCTAGAATTAATCAAGCAATTCACTTGGAATTCCACTGTGAGATTGTGTTAAGGAAACAGTTCCAAGAGCTAAGATATTAGGAAGGAACCTCTTAGAGTTTATTTATTTAAATATTTCTATCCCATTTTTCCCGCCTCCACAGAGACCAAAGTAGCTTATAACAATAGAGATAAACCCTGTTATAAATAAACCAATAAACTACACTCTGGTCTTTGGTAGGTCCTGAATACACTGGTTGTCTCATCTGAGTGTGAGAAGCTCCCTTTGGTTCATGCCTTCCAGGCCATGCTTCTGGTCACACCCAGTGATTATGCTTGCAGGCAGGAGTCATAAAACACATCGGAGTTGGTGCAGCTGGCAAGATGTTCCCCAACAACTGCAGCCATATTTTGCACTTGATTGATACATAGGTTACATTTTGGTTGCTAACGGGTTTGGTTGCTAACTTCTCAAATGGTTCCTGTAAACTCTGTACACAAAAAAATATTGGACTGCAACCCATGAGTCCATGACATTAACAGCATTACAGAAAAGCTAGGAATGCCAGGCTCTGGGTGGGACCTGGGGATCCCCAAGAATTGCAGCTCATCTCCAGACTAAAGAGATCAGTTCCTCTGGATAAAATGGATGTTTTGGAGGGTGGACTCTGTGGCATTTCGACATGACGAAAATCGGGCCTGGGGGAAACCCCACCCCCGCATGCGCGTCACTCGGAAGTGACGTCGCACGCTGGGGGCGGGGCCACGGCCATTTGAGGGGGAAACACTTCCGGGTGACGCGCACGCGGGTCGCGCACACCCAGACGCCGGCCGGGAGCCCCCGCACCCGGCCAAAAGAGATTTGGCAACCCTATCCCCCAAAGATATACAGGGGGACGTGGTAACCCTAGGAAAAGCTCTTGTACAGTTTCCTTTCATTTCACTGGATCATGGCATGGGAGAACTTCCCAGAGACTGCATTTTGTCAGGGTTTGTCCTGACTAATTGGATTTTCTTTGTGACCTCCTCCAGAAGATCATATCAAGAGGGGCAAAGGAATGGATCCACCCACCACTTCTGCTGGTTAAAATAAGTAGAAGGAGGTCTCCTTTGACCACCCAACAAGGCCATGGTAAAGGACAAGGGCCTGTATGGACAAAGGCCATATGGGAATGGATGGTGGCTGTAGCAAAGAGGACAATCCAGTGAGATTGTCTAAAAACCTGGCTGCATCCAATACATAGATTGCAAGACCTTTTGCAATCTGTCAGTATTTGGGTTTCGAATTTTTCCACACAGGAAATTGCAGCTCATAAGAGGCCTCAAATTTCCTGGGGTTGGTCTGGCACCAGTTTGACTCCAGGCTGAGAGCTGTGATGCTCTTGAAGTCACAGTGCGTCAAGTCCCTTTCCCTTAAAAGGCAATGTCACCAGTTTGACTCCAGGCTGAGAGCTGTGGTGCATCAAGTCCCTTTCCCTTAAAAGGCAATGTCCACTTCCTCACTCCTGGTGAGTGCTTTCGTGGAACTGAATTGTGCCTTTACAGATGCACACACATGCAAATCTGCAAGGAGAGATGTAGGCCCTTACCGTGGTTTCTGCTATGTCAGACTCTAAGGTGGAGTTTAAGAGGCTGGTCCCATGTACAAGTGCATTAACACCTCCCCCCAACTCTTGCAGACCATTTTGTGTTATCTTTTCACATACTGTATTTCTTTAACAACTCTGGCAAGTGTGGAGAGAGAGACCTGATCCACCTTTGCACTGGATAATGTGAATTTGTGATTTCCTTCTTTAAAATAATGTGGTACGGATAGCATGATTGTACAGGCATATCCAGACTGGAACTTGTGGTTTTGTGAGTCTTCATCAAATGATTTGTGCTTTCACTAAACAAGCATTCAAAATGTTTGCATCTGTACACTTGTGCGCTGCTCTATTGAACTGTTATCTGGAATAGATGGTTTTTAACCTGATAGCTGTTGAAAAATTTTTGCAGGCTTCATATCACTGATCAAAAATTTGAAAGCAATAATAGAGAGCAGTTTAGAGATGGGCCACTCTACTTGGTTGGACTCAATTAATATGAGATTTAACACTTGGTTTAGCTTAATATTTAAAATACTTTGGTAAAATAAGGATGTGTGTGTGTGCAGGAAAGTGTGTGCACATATGAATATATATCACTGTATCAGAAAATTGACAAATGCTTGCTCTTTTTCCCCCTCCTCTGCAGATTAGAGTATTCCGGCCCCCAAACTATTCAGGCACTATTGCTTTGGCCCTTCTGGTTTCACTGGTCGGTGGTTTGCTCTACTTGCGGAGGAATAACTTGGAGTTCATCTACAACAAGACTGGCTGGGCAATGGCAGCATTGGTATGCCAATTTCTAAAACATGTTTGTATATAAAAGTGTTTACAATATGTATGCAGTAATATTTCAAAATCCTGACTAATTATAATTGGTCCTATCGTTTTGGGTGGGGAGTTGGTAGCATTGGCTTATTTTATTTTGCCAAAGTGCCAGGGTATGAAGGTTGTAAGTCTTTGCCCTGAATTGGAGGGCCAGTGTTCATGACACGGAAATAATTTATTAAGTATTTAAGGTTGTTTTACAATAACCCAGAAATTAGAGTCAGAAGTGGGTTCCTTGGCAGTCAGCATGAAGCTAAAAAAAAAAAAAAATTACAAGCCAAATGGGCTGCTGCTAATTTCAGTTGCTTGCTAAAATAATTTCTGTGACATTTTTATACCCATAGTAAGTGCTTAACTGTAGTGTTTGAGGTGTATCGTATCCATAATACAGCCTTCTGATTTGTCACCACTTTAACTGTTTGAATTAGACTTTGGGAGATCTTAATTTACTTTTCTCCTCTCTCATTATTTTATAATCAATTAGGGCTCCTTAGTACTTGTTTTCAGTATTTAATTTTTATCGCGTCCACATTTTTAAAGTTCTTTGCAATGTAATGGCAATATACTTTCCGTTTACAATGATGGGATTAATGAAAAAGAACTTTTGATTTCCTCTCTCTCTCTCCTCCTGTGCAATCTAAAAGAAATGTGTGATGGGTCTAAACAACGTATTTCTTCCACGACTATGTGGAATTGCATTGCTATCTTGCACTCTAGCGCCTTGCCCAAGAACAGGGTATTTGCCGCTAGATGACGATTATTTAGCTCATTCAGGGGTTGCCCCATGACACCCTCTTTCGTGTGACTGGGACCACTGCCTCCCTGAAGGAGGAACTGATCATTAACTGCAATAAACAATAACCATCTATGCTCTTTTAAAAATCTCATTGTCCATCCCCTGCAACTAGACAAGTAGCATGTTACGAAAATCTGCCCCACAATACAAGATATTGTTTAATGTGTTTCAAGACTCTTCTAGTTCAGGCAAAGGTTTCCCTTGCTCGAAAGCTAGTCAAATCTGACTCTAGGGGGGATTGCTCATCTCTGTTTCCAAGCCGAAGAGTCAGCACTGTCCGAAGACTTCTCAGTGGTCATGTGCTCAGAGGTTAAGATGCTGAGCTGCAGACCAGAAGGTCTGTAGTTGAGCAGTTCGAGACCCTAGTTCCACGTGACAGAGTGGGCTCCCGTGTTTGGCCCCAGCTCCTGCCAACCTAGCAATTCGAAATCAAGAAATTGCAAATAGATAAATAGGTACCACTTTGTTGGGAAGGTAACAGCGTTCCGTGCACCTTGGTGTTTAGTAGTTCAGGCAGACAGAGCTAAAAGCTTCCTGCACCCAAAGCTGTGACTGACTAAAGCACAGGTTAAAGAATATGTAGGTATTCCTTCTCAGGAGAAACATCTGAGCAGTCTCAAGGAAGCAAAAGAACTTCAGGAAGCCTACTGAGATTTTTGGAGAGGGTTTTGCACCCCTCTAAATGGATGGCTCAAGCGGTTGAGATCAAGGGTGTAGACTTTCCAATTTCCCGGGGGGGGCTGGGGCTCGACCAGAGGCATTGCTTTGCTAGGAGCAAGGGTGGCTCCCGGGGGAGGCTGAGTACCTTCCTGAAAATTTCGGCGGGGGGTCGCGCCCCCCCCCCCCCCCCGAAAATACGTCTCGAGATGCTGAACTGCAGCCTGGAAGGTTGGTAGTTCAGCAGTTCGAGACTCAATTGCCTCATGACGGAGTGAGCTCCTGTCTCTGGTCCCAGCTCCTGCCAACCTAGCAGTTCGAAAGCAAGAAATTGCAAGTAGAAAAATAGGTACCACTTCGGTGGGAAGGTAACAGCGTTCCATGCGCCTTGGCGTCTAGTCATGCCGGCCACATGTCCACGGAAATGTCTTTGGACTGCGCTGGCTCTTCGGCTTGGAAACGGAGATGAGCACTGCATCCCTAGAGTTGGATTCGACTGGCTTTCAAGCAAGGGAAACCTTTACCTTTACTAAATGGTGACAGTATTTTTCCTGAACCAAAATTTACAACTAATTTGGAAGTTACTCTTCAGGTAAAACTGCTAAATAATGGCAAGGTTAGCCAGAAGTGTTTCACTAAACCTAGCAGTCTTTCTGAGGAAAGGTTACATGTTGCTAAATCTATGCAGTAGGCTGGATATCCTTATTCCGCATGGTGCTAATCTGAACATTGCCATGCCCCTGCTCAGTGGCTCAGGTGGCTTGGAAAGTAGGACACACAGTGATTTCGTCAAGTGGTTGGCGCCTACAGGAAGATTCTCTGTTTGCATACATCGAGCCATCAACACACAAAGAGGTTTTTAAGTGTCCATCTTTCTGTGGGTAGCTGTGTTCCTGTGCTCACACATACGGAAGACCTGAAGTATATAAACAACAATGAACAAATGTTTCCGCAATAATGCATCCTTTCACCCTTCATTTTCTAGAACATTTGAAAGCCCATAATGAATTTGGGGCACTGGCAGCATAATTACAGGAAGCTTACAGTTTGCTACCCCTCTTGAAGGCCACGCAGAGGAGGGAAGACAGAAGGGAGCCATCTTAGCATTCTCCTCCCCTGCCCATCATAATCAGCAAGCCCCGCTAAAGGGCCTGACAAATTTCCCGTTTTAAGCAGCTTTCCCATCCTGAACTCCTCCATAGTGGCATCTTCAAAGATAAGACTTGTGTTGGTGGTGGTTTGTCGCTGGATTTTAAAATTCCTCTTTATTTATACAAAATCATTTCTCTCCTTCTGAAGTGCCTGACTGCTGAACAGCCTTGAAAGTTTTAAGTCAGATAATTTTTCCTTAAAAAATAAATAAATCTTTTTTAGAACAACCAAGCTCTTGTCTTCTGTTCACGTTTTACAGGCCATGGCCTTGGGGGGGGGGGAGGCTGCAGCTAATTAAATCAAAGTTAATCACATTAATTCAAATTGGGGCCAGCCTGGGAGGGAGGGGGCCCGGAAGAAGCACTCGGGGGATGGGCCCCGCGGGCCCTGCGTTAGCTATGGGCCTGCATGGAATGCAGATCTATAGTGTGTGGCCTCATTTCTTGTGGAAAGTGATTCTAAGGTGCAGCCTTTGTAGAGCCCAATAGATAAAGAAGAAAAAAGGTTTTTAAAAGTTTATCTTCGTTTGCGGGGCAGAAGAGGTGAGACAATGGCAGACCTGCATGTCAGAACTGAGTCATCACTGACTTCCTGAAAGAAACAAGAGAGACAACTTAAAAGTGAAATATGAGCGTACGTTAATCCCCCCCCCCTTTTTTTTTCATAACTGCTTTTCTCCTGTGGAGTTTCTACCAGTCTCAAAGCTTAGAAGAAAAATGAGGGAGAGAAAGGCAAGACAAAAATAGCTGTCAAGAAGCAGAATTCCTGGGTAGATGGGAGGAACGTGGACAGAGAGGACCGGACTCAGCATCTTTCTTCTGGCTGCCCGTGCTGTGCTTTAAATTCTACATACCTGTCTATTGGCATGACCTGCCTTTGGATGGCCCACAATGAGTCATTGTACTGTCTGGTCAGCTCCTGTCATTTCTCCTGAGCATTAATTGGCTTGTTATGCTAAGATGTGAATAACTCTAAAGTTCACACAAGGGCCTGCACTGGCCCAAAAGAACACTTCTGTCTTTTGAACCATTTTTAACCAGTGTGTCATTGCATGAACATGTCGGAACTCCCTTAAGTCGTATTTGCCATGGGGTTTGGGAAATAGGTTTTACCATTCACAAGAACAAATCAGAATGTATGCTTGGGCTCCTGAGAATGGTTGCACTTTTCTTTTCTTTTTTTGCCCTTCTCTCCATTTTGAACTTTTCTCAGAATGGTTGCACTTTTTTTTTCTTTTCTTGTTTGCCCTTCTCTCCATTTTGAACTTTTCATTCACCCAATCTTCAGTTGCTTCTGTCACCAAATGACGTTTAAGAGTGTACTGGTGATATCTTAATTGTACCATTGTACTTTTTTGTAAGCACTTTGCTGTGCCTCAGAGAGTTGTGGGTCAAAACTTCGTTCCACTTTATAAAAACAGGCTAAATACACTTGTGGGCAGATACATTGACCCAGTAAGGAATCGCATCTGCAGAGCCCCTCCCCCTGATGGGGGAGACTCGTGAAATGCATTCTGGCTGAAAGTTTATTTTTAAAAAGAAGCCTGTGGGAGAGAGCTCCGCTTCCTCTAATTCTTAAACTGAGAAGATCTTAAAAATATAGGAAAGATGTTCTTAGTTGCAGAACTTTGAAGATGTTCTCCAGAAGGGTCAGTTTGATGTATCCAGTTAATGTATCCTTCCTCCATGTCTAAGATGGATCGAAATGAAGTTTCCTTGTCATGTTTAGAATTTTAAAAAGGTGAGAAAGGCTGCATAGTAAAAATCAGTGGAGGTAAAAGTTGCTAGACTATTAGATTTGGAGAGCTTGTGTTCAAACTGCTAATCAGCTGTGTGGTTCTGAAGTTTACCCAGAGTCATTATCTTTCTGAGCCTACCTAAGGAAGGTTTAGGTAGTTAACAGAAAGTGCCTTCGCCTGCCAACCTTTATCCTATTGTGAGACTAAACTAGGACAGCTTAAATGAAAGCTTAACACCTTGGAGGAAGAATAGGATATAGATATAATGTTCAAGAGTGGGCAAAATCCATGACTTTAGCATATGCAGAAACATGATCCAATTTTAATCTCTGCTAACAACACCTCGGTGAGCACCATTCAGTGGCATTCAGAATATTCTAGGTTTTTTTTCAACTTTCCATGCTAAATTTTAATTATGGCATAACAAATCAAAGCTATACAACTATGATGAGTAAGATATATGTTCCTCAGTAGGAAAGAGGGTTTGTGTGTGGGTGTGTCATTGCATAGTAGAATGTAGGGTACTAGCTGAATACTGCCACATCATCAAGTAGTTTTATGACCTTGCAGTGAAACCCGAGATAGCTCTGAAGAGCCAATACCATGAATGGGAAGGTTC